ATCATTAAATTTCACAAAAGAAAAATACTCTTTAAGTTTAGAAAAAAATTAATTTAATACTTTTAGCCATAATAAACAAATGAAATTTGATTTAAGACATTGAAAATTTTCTTTGGAGATAACTTCTATATTTAAAAAAACCATTATATAGTCAAAAAAAATTTTGACGATAACTTCTATATTAAAAAAAATTGCTATATAGTTTTCTGACTTCAAAAAATTTTAAAACTCATACTTTTTATATAACACATGGATTGATGATGCCATTATCTCTGAACCATTGATTTCTTTTTGATCCAATGGCATGCATACTCTTTTTCTCTCTTATTGTCATTTCTCACATTCAAATCCATCTATCATATTTCACTTTGATGATACTCAACCCTCTCCCCCCCTCTCTCATGCAACTTCACTCCTTTAGTCCATACTCAACCCTCTCTCTCGCTCAAGCATCTCTCTCACCCCAGACTTTTACTCTTCATCTTCATCTTCATCTTCAACAGTCAAATGATCATTTTCAGGCACGGTCTCTAACATGACATATATCTCTTCTCCTCCATTGTATGTGCATACATGACACTATGCACCAACTTCTAGTCTATGTGGTACCCGATCTCTTTGGCATCACTATGCACCAACTTATTATTGTCCTTGGTTATATTGTTAAATGGAAGGCTAGTGGTCCATATTTATAATCATGATTTTTAGCTTTTGATTTTAGATATGTGGTTTTTTAAATTTGTGTGGCATTAGTTTCAAGTATGCTCATGTATTGTTCTAGCATACTTGTAGATAGATTATATTATTTGGTTATTGAGATATTATTCTCACTCTCATGGTTATATATTACAGGTGAAGGCTTAGACAGGAGTAAAGAAAAGGAAGATACTATCGAGAGTTTGAGGAGATAATGATTGTATAGCTCTAATCTTTTTGGTACCTGTAAAACTAAAATATATAATATGTTATGCCAACTTAGGACATGCATCATATAGAGGTCAATTGCATGAAATTATGATGTTTTGGTGTATTATGGCTTAGGATATTGTAATTATGATGGAAATTGTGTAAGAAACCAATATACTAATGCAAGTATTATTATTATTAATTTCATGATTATGGATGGCCATAGATTAGTTATTGTGAATTGTACATTTACCCTTTTAGATGAATGCTAGTCTGGAGTTTTGATGGCCAATTGTGTTTGATATATATGTGAATATGACTACTTTATTAGGTGCAATATGGTTTGTGTAAGTTAGTTCAAGTGATTCCTAGTTTATTGGCATTTGGTTTGGGGCTTTGAACAACTTTGGGTATGTTTTGAAATGAAAAAGGTGTCTTTTTGCATTTGGGTGTTCAATTTCTAAATGGTAAAGTATTTTATGGTGAAACCGATGCCTATAGTTAGGTGACTCAATTAACTATGTGTGAATACTTGAATCGCTCAAATTGAATATCAAATGGAGAAAATACGCGCTCCAAAAATTAATCCTAAAGTGTTGTCGTAATAGTAAGGGTGCGTAGCGATGTAAGGTGTGTACGCCATGGTGCAAGTCACAACGAGTGGACTTCCCCCCTTATGCCATTCGCCATAGCGAATGGAGCAATTTTGGACATTGTCTAAATTGTTCTCATTTGACGTATGATTGTGATGATTTCTTTTGCCATGCTTTTGCAACTTCTTTTATGATATTTTAAACTTTAGTTTGAGCTTAAACACTTTTTAAAAAGATTTTTTTTTCGGATTATAATTTTCATTACTTTTGAAATTTAACCCTTGATTATCATGATGACTTAAAATAAGGATTTACTTAATCTTTATTATCATGATAGTGTTGCATGATGTGTTTTGGTAATGTTAAGATGGACATCACATTTGATGGGTCAGCTTGAATAAGCTTTAAAAAATTTACCATTGAATTGAAATAATTGTATAATTTTTTATGTTTGGACCTTAGGCGGCCTATTGCTTAAAAAATTCGAGCTAAGCCCCAATCGAGTTTAGGCTTGGTTTGAATATCTGAATAGAAGTTTAGATTTTTTTTTAAAAAATATTAAATATTAATTAATTATTTCTTTTGTAACTTATTTTATATTCATAGACTATATATTTGAGTACATGACAATATATATATATATATTTATTTAAAAAATAAAGATATTAATATTGTTATATTTTATTATTTTCAAATTATAAAATCTCAAACAAGCCTCTTTCGCTCGAATTGCTAGCTCTATTTTTTTTGCTCAATGCCTATCTATGAACCAATATTTAGTTAAAGCATTTGATATGGTATTATTTATAAATCACTTATAACTTGTTTTATTAGAATTAAATTTTTTTAAAACTTGTTAATTCTCCTTTAAAATTTTAATAAATTTTTAATTTTACTCTTATTAAATATATGTACTTTATTAATATACTTTCTTTTGCTAATATTGGGAGTAAAAGAAATAAAATTATAAAAAAATAAATAATATACCTTATAAATAGAATAAAAAACTCTTTCTCTTTTCACCTCATAATTAAAACGTAAAACTTAAATACTTAATATAGATGATATATTTTCTGGCCAAAAAATTTTACTTATTATATTTTATCTTGTCAAATCAAAGCTAATAGTCTTTAATGTGCTAATAATAATATTAATAACAAGAGTTTGTTATAAAATAAATAATACTTATATAAAAAATTCACATATTTTGATTTAATTGTAAAGAAGTAACTTGACCTTGAGTATAAAGATTATATATATATATATATATATATATATAAACACCGTATTTTATTCAGGCTTTCAAATGTAAATTGAAAATAAATAAAAATCACAATAAAATTAAGTACATTAAATAAATAAGGAAAAATAGGTTTTATAAAAAACAATTAATAAAATAATATCTTCATAACTTTAAAAGATTTTTTCCTTTTTTATTGACCCCCAAATCCCCTCATTTTTTGTTTTTGTCAAATTAAATGTCCTTAATGGAAATTTGAAAATCAGAAATAAAGAAGAAAAGTCAAAATAAAATTTGCCTTGATATGCTTGATTTTGTCATCAAGAAAAACAAAAAAAAAACAAATTAGAATTGATACCCATAAAAGAGATAGCAAAGAAGAAGAGAGGGACGGAAAAATTGGGAGAGGAAATTTAGAAAGAGACAGCAAAAGGCACAAGCAAAGTTTTGAAGGTGACTGATTTTATTCTTCGTTATTGTTGTGGCTTTAGGTGGTGAATTGGTAAAACAAAAAGCTTTCTTGAGTCAATATAAAGTCATGTTGAATCCTTTTCTCTATATGCTGACAACTAGTGATTTAGGGAATTCTTAATCTTAAACTTCACCTATCTATTCTTGTCACTGGTGTTGGCGCCTCGTATTTTAAAGCCTTATATTTCCTGTACACATTCTTGGTTCAGATTCAAAATGATTCTTCATTGTTTGTTCTTTCTTTGTCCCCCCCCCCCCTCTTTTCGTTTGTTTGTTTATCAATATAATTGATCTTTGCTGTGAGTTTGTCCTAAAATGACACGGCACATAAGCTCTTATAATCATCATCATCAATTTATATATAAGAAGACGTTGCATACTGTCTTGACGTTGATTCTTCCTTTTTTTTATTTATTATTTTGTTAAAAGTTGTGGGGATAATGTTATTTACAACTTATTACATATTCTTCTTGATAAAATATTATTCTAATCTTTATATATATATATATATATATATTCTTTTTTTAAAAAGGGTAACCATAATTGGTACTAAATCATCATGAATATTTGATGCGCTAATGAAGTGGGTGATATTAAATCACTGCTAATATCAAGTGACAAAAAATTCTGAAAATATTAAATTTATCGATATGTTTTTAGGATTTATAAGTGATACTAAATTATTGTGGATCATTAGAAACATCAAATGATATACTGTGAGTGACACTGAGTCATTGCATATATGAAATTTTGCATTAAAATAATTAAACTATTTACTGTGAAAAATTCTTTTAGGGTTTGCCACAAGTGATACTAAATTACTGCGTGCACTTAGAGCATCAACCAGTGAACTATGAGTAATATTAAATCATTACAGGTTTCAATATTGGTTAAATTTTCCTCTCTTGTGCATTATTACAATTAATAATAATAATTTTAGCATATTTTATGTTATGTCATGAGTGATGCTAAATTATTGTGGATCCTTTAAAATATCAACAAGATGCCATGAATCACATTAAGCCATTATAGGTATCAAATTTTTATATTAGGATTTCACAATTAAATTATTTATTTTGAAAATTCCTTTAGGATTTGTCATGAATAATACTAAATTACTGTGTGCACATAAAAATATCAACCAGTGGACTGTGAGTGATACTAAATCACCTCAAGTTTCAGCATTGGTCATTTTCTTCTTATCCAAAGGTATTTTTAAGGAACACATTTTTATAAAAAATAATACAACCCAAAATATCAATCTCTTTATAAAAGAAATTAATTAAAAGAATTAAAAAACTTAAATAATAATACTTTCAAACTATATGGACTTTGATCCTCATTACAAAATATGTAGTCTTAAGCTTTGATTCTAGATCAAGTCCTCATTTGTAAATAAATAATTTTTTTATTTTGTTTCGTGATAACTGTTCTTATGAATGAGTGTCGTGAAGTGGCTAACACTTTCCTTACCTATAATCAATTGAACCTTTTTTTTAGACCATCATTTTTTATTATATAATTTTTCAATGTTTTTTTAAAAACTTTGATGGTGACTCTCTCGTTTTTTTTTTTAACATTTTTTGATCTTCTGTCTTTGGGAAAGTGAAGATCCGGGCATGATAATATACACTTTGATTTTAGCAATACATTGAGTTTAAATTTGAAAATTTTAGTGATCTTTTGAGTGCAAACATTGATGGTAAGAATCTTAAAAACGTGTATATTTTTTATTTTCTTCGCAAGTTATAAAAATGAAATGAACATTTTTAATTAGATATAGGCTCCACTTCCTCTCTAATAATGACTCTATTGACTTGATTCATGACTTAGGTAAAAATTAAGTGTTTAAAATTGAAAAAAAAAAAAAGTTTTTGGCTCCATTTTAAAAGTGCCACCTTAATGATTCCTACTATTGATATTACACTGAACGGCACAGACCACCATGGAAGTTGCAGAGTCAAGGATATCAAAGTGGCAACAGCCAGAGAACTCCAAACTGAGAAGCAAAACCAGGAAACATGGACTTAGCTGTAGAAGCCAAGTAATATGTCACTGAACATCCCAGAGAAGCCATGGAAATACTTGTGTTGCATCCGACTTTTACATCTTCGATTATTATTTCTCCCATGAACCCCCTTCTTCGAACTCTACCTTCACTTCCATTATTCACATTCTTCTTTCAAATACAATAATGGTTCTTGATGCCTGCATGGCCATTATTAAGAGAAACAGGTCAGTAGCGATTCATTGAGCAGCAAATCTCGCAATCTCTCAGCAAGAAAACTAGAGCATGTCCTAGCAACTGTACCTTCATTAGGATCATAGAACCATTGTATTAAGAAAATTAGGATCATAGAACGACTGCAAGCTTCGTACTGAAACCCACCACTGCTAGCTTCTCACGCGCAACATTAGCTTCACCAAAAAAAAAAAAAAGAACCAAATTCAAAACCCATTAACTAAAAGCTCTGACAGATCAGTGCTTCTGTGAAAAAGCAAGAGCAGAGAAGCAAAGTTATTAGGAGAGACGAGAATATATGAGAAAAGGTCCAGACTTGTTCCAGAAGGTAGATCCAATGGCGTACCTATGATGAGATCCGAGATCTCGAGAGAAATTTGCTTTGACAGATAGATAGAAGGTTGATAAATTTGGAACCCTTGTGCCATGAACGAAGCCCTCGTCATCAGCACAATGAAAAGGAAGAACATCATGTGGCTGGACAGAGAAAGAAGAACTGAAAAAGCACCAAAGAAAGAAGAAAAGGAACAGAGTCATGTAAAGCTAAAGGGGTAGCTCAGTAGGAGGAGGAGGAGAAAAAGGAGGAAGCTGGGGTATGAAGAAATGAAGAAGGTGATTACATATTTATAGGAGGAGAGAACAATATCAGGTGGATCAGGTCTACCATATTTGAGCCTGCACCCTCCATGTGGGACCCTCCCCTCCTTCAAAAATCAAGCACATCAAAACGTTTTAATTCTAGTATTGCTTATATTTTTTGCCGTTGCTAATTATTTCTCGTAATTTTTTTGGTCGTGATTAAATTGATATGTTATGCTGTAACTATAAAAGCTTTGTTGAGTTGCAGAGGAAGGAAGAAGGAAGGTGATGAAGGTGATAAGCTTGGTTGGTATGAAGCGGTATTTGTAGTGGGAGAGAAAGGCTTGGAGAACCTTGTTCGATCATTATTTCCGATTCTAAAACACAAACAAAACTCAATAGATTATGAATGTGAGCAAATTAAGGATGGTTGGCGGAAATTTCCTGGGAATAAGTTGCAGTCCACAAGGACGTTCCGATTAAAGATGATATTCTATTATACCTTAGCTTATATCAATGCCTTTCCTAAAGCGGTTCCTGTACTCTCCGTGTTCATATATAGACACACACCTCATAAAAGCAGCTACTTCCTTTCCACCTCAGGAAATCCTTCTTCTTTAATCTCCCACACATCCATTTTCAGAAGAAACTTAAACGTCACGAAGACGAGCAGCGATACGTATCTGATAGAGTATAGACTTAGCTTTGGTCCGTATTGCATGGAAGAAAAGTTCAATACTTTAATATATGACAGAGACAGTCTCTCACACACAGAAAATCAGGAATGGATTATCGATGGAAATGAGGTCTTAAAATTAGCAAGGATGTCTATAAATTCACTGTGCAAATTTATTTTGAATACTACAGATTTAATATTATTTTTCTAGTTTTATAAATTCTTGTTTTGATAATACAATACTAAGAATATAGATAACCTCATAATATGAACTTTGAGTTAAGCCTAAACTGTTGAAAGTAAATATGTATAAACAGTTTATAAATTATAAAATATTTTAATGTTAAAATTAAATCATCTATGATAAATTTTGATTGTCTAGATTAGTGATTAGCAAATTTATTCAAATTTTTTATAATTTTTATTTCAATAAATATAAAATAAAAATTTAAAACTTCAAATCAGGACTGCTTAGATTAATCTGAACGGCTCATATGTGCATGAGCGGCAGGAGTCAGTGGCGGGGAAGTCATAGAAGAGAAAGACAATGAGGATTACATTAAGATGAGTTGATGCAAAATGGCTGGACAGTGTATAGATTAGCTGATACTCCCAAGACACCTAAGAATTTCTCCAATTTTACAAGCTGAAGCAGATTAATGTGCATTATTACCTTCTTACTGCGTTAAAGAGTCTCATACACACACTCATGTGGACGCTCTTTCTTCACTTCCGTGTACATGGACAGAAATTCTTGTATGGCTCCGTGTATCGGGTCCCTCCATTTTTTTTCCTCCATTTCTCTCCACTTCCCCCATTCTCACCATTCAAATTTTTTTATTAAACAATTTTTTTAAATGAAAAAAATTAATGAATAGTGGAGATGGAGGAAGTGGAGGGAAATGGAGAAAAAGGAAGTGAAAAGACCCCACTTCTGTATCATATCATTTATGTATCATTTAACAAAAATGCGTAATTCAAATAACTTTTAATATTGTTAGAAAGAAAAAAGTAATAAATTAAAGATGCATGCTATTTAAAAAATAAAATCTAAAAATAATCAAGCACAAAATATAATTTTTTTCATAAATTATATAATTATACTAAAACTAAAAACTAAATTTTTTACATATTAATAATTTAGAATAATAATAATAATAATAATATAATAATAATAATAATAATAATAATAAATAGATTCAATATATCCTATTCAAATTTTATATGAATATTTCTTGGATCAAAAGGTAATTTCACCTTTAAACTATAGGGCTGTGTTTGTCGAGTGGAATCACAAGCATGGAAAAGGAATTGAAGCTGAAATCATAAAACAATGATGTTTGGTACATGTGAATTTAAATTCTCAAAAATCTTGATTCAAGCAAAAAAAGTTGAATTGAATTCTTTGATGGGAGCTATGGAATTGGAGCAATTTTATGGAATTTTATTTTTTGATGACAATTTTATCCTTATATAAAAATAGAGAAGACAACTGTGCCCTTACTTATTTGTGATTAATACCGAAAGAATTGAGCATGCAGACAGTCGCACAGTGAACAATTAAAAATGCTCAACTCGTGCTTTCATTTATATGTGTGTGTGTGTAAATACCCAATTCAAAATGCCCAACTCAGACAATTCAAATTTTTATATATATAATTTATATATTTATAATATTTCTTTTAAAAATATTTTACTTATTTTTAATATCCATCATCTATATAATATTTCATTTGTATATTAAATAGTATATGAGAAATTAAATCATAATATTAATACATTTTAATTTTGATTTTAATTTTTAGGGGTATTTTTATCTTTTAAGTATAATTTTATTTTCATGTCTTACATACCAAACAAAAATAATACAAGGATTTCATCTATTTTTTCTAATATACCAAACATATTTTTAAAATCTAATTCTATTCCAATTTTAATTCTGATTTCAATTTTAATTTTGATTCCAATTCCATCAAAAATTATTCAGTCATATCATATGGGGCCTAAGTTTACTAGTGTCTCTGACCTTTATGTTATGTTTGAATATATATATATATATATATATATATATGGATTTGAATTTGGATTTGAGTCAAACTTATTATTTGGATAATTAAAAATGTATAGAGTTTGATATGACTCAAATCCAAATTCAAGTTCTACCTCAATTTTTTTGTAATTTAAAATTCTTTTTAAATCTCTATTATTTTAAATCCAAACTTATTTCTTTTGTAATTTGACCTAAATCTATGAAGGTTTGTTTGACCTACCAAAGGTAATTAGACCGAACCGCTGAAGTTGACAGAAATAAGCCACCACGTTGACTGGGATTGGATGACTGACTTCCACAAGAATCAGACCAATGACAACGACAAAGACAAGATGGTCGACTTTCATCAAAACTAAACCAATGGCGATCAACCGGACGACCAACTTCGATTGAAACATGATTGACAGCGATGATAGGGACTGGGTCGTGGATGTCCACTAGGACTGGATTGATGGCGATGATGTGGACCGAATGATCAACTTTGACTGAGATCGAACTGACGATGATTAGGCTACAGACTTCCATCAAGATCGGACTGACGATGATGATGGGAATGGCTGACTGTCACCGAGACCGGATCTATGGTGACAGGATTAGTGTCTTGGACTTTTAACTTATTTTTGATGCAGTATTCCCTTTTAATTTTTAAAAGCAATGCAAGCAATGTTGTCACTATTTTCAATAAAAATTAATTTTGAGTATTAGTTGATCAAAAAATTACAAAAAAATGATATAAAAATTATAGAAAATAAGAAAAAAATCACAAAAAAGAACTAATTATTGAAAATTTTGGACCTATATGGGCCGTTGAAATTAAAATGAAAGAAAATTGAATAAAATCATGATTAATAATGTCCTAAAAAATATTGACCAACAAGTACAAACAACCCGAGCTTCATCCTAAACTAGTACCTGGCCAATGTAGTAGTTGGGCATTAGGTCGGGTTAAGCCCAACCTAACCTAATAGTATTTTTTAAAAAAATGTGAAAATAATTTTATTAATCACCAACAAACATATTCATCGTGATTTAAAATGTATTTATTATAAAAAAATTTTAAGATTTAAAGTAATATTTTTTAAATTTTTTAATTATAACAATTATCAATTATTTTTACCTAATATAAACTTATAAAGTTGAAAAAATTGAATTGAAATTTTTTAATAAAATTCAAAAAATTGAAATACCAAAAAATATTCATAATTATTATTCAAAAAATGTAAAAAAATAATAATAAATATCAATAAAATATATTTTTTCCAATATTTTTCTTTTAATTTTTTTCACCTCACTATTTTCCTCTTATCGTTAATGGAGGGCTAATAAAGAGCGCCTCTTGCCTCCATTATCATAAAAATGAAAAGAGCCTCTTGCCTCTTGCTCTAATGTACACACGCTCTTACTTTAAAGTGACTAACACTTTAAATGCTTGCATGGAAAATGACTAAACTGACACTTAAAATACTATGAAAGCAACATTTGATAAAATACGATGGGAACAGGAAATACGCATTTGAGCTAACAAGCCTGAAACAAAATGCATAGCTTTGGAATTATGTTTGTGGTGTGGTCCCACAGTGGTCGGTCTATATATGCATAATAATTGGGAGAATGGTAAAGATATCTCAAACAGATAAGTTAATTTAATTTAAGTCTCAGAGTCCAAAACTTTATAAATTTATAAGTTTAACTTTTAATTTTGTAATTTTATTTTATTAAATTTACAATTTGTGTTCTAAATTTTAACAAAAAAATAAATTTATTTATTATTCAATCATATTAAAATTTTATCTTATAAAATTATAAAATTGAGAGATGAACTTGTAAATTTTTAAAATTTGAAATTTGAAACCTATGTTAAATTAATTGATTTTATTGGGACTTCTCTATCATTCTCCTCATAATAATGTACTTTCCGAATGTCAGGAAATTCCCTTTTTGTATGTAATTTTCGAGTTCTTCATCTTTTCCTCCATCTTGCTTCCTCTAAGAACTGATGCAAATGTTTTATCAACTCACCATTTAATGTTTATATAAATTATAAACAACTTAACATAATAAAACGAAAACTAAAATAGTTATATATCTAGCTTGTCTTATGGTTTACACGTTAAGAGATTATTCTCTCACAATTTAATGAATTAAGATTTGAATTTTTATCAGAATAAGTGGCCGCATGTAATAAAATTTAAGAGGGGTAAAATACTTGCACAAAAAACACGTGTGCACAATAAAATTTAAGAGAGTTCTTTAAATTTTTGCCAAAGAAAATTAATAAAAAAACGTATAAAACCTTAAATTAATTTTTGGTGCAATCCAACAATTGTGCATAATACAATTCAAGAGAGTTTTTATAGATTTTAGCCAAAGAAAATTAATAAAGATGCAACCATGACTTTAAATTTAATTTTTGGTGCAATCCTTTTTAACTTTTAAGAACGGTGCAATGTCACTCAATAATAGAGTCCCTGATGTTGTCCTATTATTAATAAGAATCAAATTTAATTGTTAATTGATAAGAAAGTATATAAAATTACAAAAAATTACATAAAAAAACTATAAAAATTCACAAAAAAAGACTCGCTATCAAATTCTGTTCTCACCACCTTATAGGCAAGAAGGCAATATAATCTGTGGCATGGTACATATGCTAAATGCTAAATATGGTTGCTAACAAACATTGATCCTGTTATTAAAGATTTGACTTATAATTTGTAAGGTCTCAGGATCAAATCTTGCTGCTAATCGATTTGAGGACCTTGTTGAACATGGGTGATTTGTAAATATTTGTATAAATTCTTGTTGAGATTGAATGCATGCTCTAGTCTTAATAAGTTCATGGAACTCAATTCACACAAGCTTTTTATTATAAAAAAGATAAATAAATGCTATATATGGTTTGCACAGTGAAATGTTAGTTCAATAATTTATGGGGTTGAAAATGAAAGCCATGAATAGTTATCCCGTAATGGAATGAGTTTTTCCTTTTGAGGATGGTGCGCGTTACATGCATTCACCTACTTAATTTGTGGGATAGAGGATATCGGTGGTATGACTCACCTTAAATTGGATTTTAAGGGAAAAAAATAGTAGCGATTAGTTTGGATCATTTAAATAATTTTGAGGGTGATAAGAAAGTCAAGATGACGAACTAAAAATAATGAAAAATAACTAAGCCAGTTCTCTGCTAATTTTCTTTGGTTAAAATATACAAAATTTTCTTGAATTTAGAGGTAACTACAAAGAATTCTCTCATATTTAAAAGTTTAAAATTAAACATCACTAACCTTTTATTTTTGTTTACCATTGACTGTTATTTTTGAGTTATCTTGCTAATAAAAGTTATCATATTATACTTTTACTATTATAAAATATAAGGCATTTTTTTACCAAATAACACACTCTAATGAATTAGTTAATTTCTTTCAAATTAATATCATCTTTTTATATTTACTTTTATTTAATAGAGTTTTTCATTTAAAAATAAATATAACGTGGTTCATTTATTAATGGCACTTTTAAAAAACATATTAATTATAGTTTAAAATATTAAAAAATATATTATATTTTTTAACTTCAACCCTTTTAGAAAATGTAAAGTTAGGAAAATAGATTGAGCCCGTGGGCCAACCGATTTGACTCTCAAAAATTGGCAAGCTAGCCAAGAAAATATGGCTTGTTTTTTTAAAAAATGGGCTAGGCCAACCCAATTTAACTTGCAAAATTAGTAGGCTAAATGGGCCAGCCCACAGGCTAGCCTTTATATATATATATATATATATATACTTATTTATTTATTTTATATTTTGAAATCTTAGCTCTAGTTTCCTTTCAATATTTATTGTTTAAATTTTTTTATAATGTACTCTTTCGATCCTGCATATTAGTCAGATTATAAAAGTATAATTTAGTCCACTTTATAAGTCATAAATCGATAGAATTATTTTGATTCAAATTAAAATATTTAAATCACCTTTAAAAAGTAAAAAAAAGAAAGATAGAAAAATAATATTATATATTACTTGTTTATTTTTTGCTTTTTATTTGAGGATTGTATTTGAAATTTTATTTACTTTTATTTCTTATACTTTTGTTGTATTGATATTAATAATATTGATAGAAATAATTTATAAATAAAACTAAAAGAGTATTAGTTTTATTATAAAGATTTTGGATATATACTGCTTGTTAATATGATAAGATCCATTGAAAGAAATCATCAATATGAGTTTGTTGAGGAAAATAAATCTAGGTTTATGTCCAAATGTTCTTTCTAAACTACAAATAAGATAGTGCATTTGGAATAGAAGATGATTAATAGTAAAAATTAAATAAATTTAATATTTTTGTTTCCTTTTCTTATTTAATTCATAATCCATGAAAACCAAATAAAAATAATATTAAAAAACCATCCGAGTTTTGTGTGAGACCAAAAATATTTTTAATCTTAATTCTTTTTTTAACTTCATTTTTAATAATGTGCTATAAAAAATGATTGCAACGTGCTATTGAATTTTTTTTAATTATTGAATTAGAGATGATGATTCTAAATTTTAAATTTATATTTCCACATTATTGTAATGCTTTGTTGATTTGAGATCTGTTCCCTCTTGTCACATCAATACAAAATTCTCTTTCTTGACTGTTCTGCTGATATTTGCAAGCAAACACTTGCTATGATGCTATCGAAGGTCTGTGGAATGGATATGACAATCATTAAGTTTTTTCTTTTTAAAACAAAAACCAGCACTGTTTCATAACAACCCAACCTAACTCACAATATGATCAGCTCATTTGGGCTAGCCAGCGACCCAACCTCTAGTTTGCATTTTTAATGAAAATACTTTATATTTTTAATAAAAAATATTAAAAAAAAACCATAACACAGTAACAGTATCCAATGTAAGTTAAAAATAATAGAGAAAATATAATATTTGATTCCTATAGTTTTATTGAGTTTTGTTTTTAGTCTCTATAATTTTTTTAGTGTTTTTAATCTTTATAAGGACTAAAATTATTGAAAAAAAATGAAAACTACAGGTAAAAAACAAAGGTTACTCAATCTTTTTAAAATTATAGGAACTAAAAATATTAAACTCAATAAAACTATAAAGATCAAATATTATGTTTTCTGAAAATAATAAGAAAAAAAGGATTTCATTATAGCATTTTTGTCCGCAAAATCTCCTTCCTATTTGGGAAAAAAGGTATCGTGCACGCAAGTGCAAAAACTCTTTCCTAGTTAGGAAAAAGGGGATCGTGCACGCAAATGGACCACTTCTTTAAGGTTTTCTAATAAATTAAAACACATTGCAATAATCTTGTCTTTCCCACTTCTCTTGAATTAAACCCACGGTTGTCTTCTCTCTCAATTTACTTTGAGTGAGAAGCTTCCGTTACCTTTTCTCAATTAAGACTTATGACGTGTCATCCTTAACCTTTCTTCACTTTTGTCAATGTTTTGAGACCCCAATCAACAAGGTTGGTTGGACAAACACCCAAACAAAAACGGTTTGGTATAATTATTTAACTTCTTTTAGTAATTGACTGTTCTCTAAATCAGGCAAGTTTTCAAAACTAAGCAAAAGCTCAAAATGTAGAACTTAGGGCGTTTAACCTTGTATCTATCTCAATCAACATGGCTCCATCCCAGTCATGTCTAGACAGCTCTTTCCTAGCCTTAAAAAAAGTCAGACAAAATTTTGTAGAATGGGACTTGAAGGAGTTCAAGAATGGGACTCAGGATCACTTTTTGGATGTCTCATCATGTCTATTGCTGTATGTCTTGCTTTTTTTTTTTTTGAAGAGCCAATAGTTTCGAATACCTCAAATGAAAAAGAATAATAAGGACTTGATGTTGTACTTAATCTATTATTATTGTACTTATAGCCTGTTACTTATAGTTGTTGTCAAAGTTTTTTTTTTTTAATGAGAAGGCCTCGATATTTAATAAGATCAGGACCACTACTACTATCATTGATTAGATTCCATCCTCATAGAGTTGTGTGGGGACCAATCTCTCTAGAATGAAGTTGGCTCTTAGTCATGAAACAAGGAGTGCTTGAAGTCCCAATCATTTTCAAGTTTTGGTAAATTGACATAAAGGGTGTCATGGCTCACCTGGGCAAACATTATTAATGGAAAAAGCCAACTGTAAATATAAACGAGAAGGTTAATGTCGTCACTCAAAAACTTATTGTTGGTTAAATTATGTTTTAAATTTTGAAATTTTATTCATGAATTATATAATTATAATAACAATAAAAATTAAATATTTTACATATTATAGATGGATAGTAATAATAATAAATAATAGCTTTAATATATCCTTTTCATATTTTGTATGGATATTTCTTTTGTATAGCTACTTGAGTGAATCAAATTCGAGCATTGTTAGGCCTAATCAAGGTACATCTCCATGTGGCATTTACAAGATCTCACATCAAGTGAATGTGGCATGGATCATAGCAATCCGTGCCCCCTCCAAGTATCGTTTCAAGATTTAATTTTTAGAAATGCATATGAAGAACATCATTTGAAAGAAGATAATCTTTTAAATGTCACTAAAATCTTTTTGAAGAGATGGGCCTTCCTTTGCTGATGAACGCCCAAGTGCCTAACCTCATGAAGGATAAAAGAACTCCCAACAAAGAGAAAGATGGGGAAGGAGGTAATTAGGTATAGCCGATATTCCGGCAGGCTCAAATGCAAAAGACTAGTTATCATAAAATGATTGGTTATTTTTCCAAAGCTAGCTTTTATTGATTGGACTCAAGGTTGGGCCTATATTTTTTATTTTTTATTTTTTTAAAAATAATTTTTACATAATAATATTATATATTCTTTTTTTGAAATATAAATTATAATATTAAAAAAATAAAAATAAGTAATAAATTTTAATTTTTAAACATAAACATATATTCTAAAGTCTAAATTTAATTTATAAATTAAAAATATTTTATTTTTTAGAGAAAAATAAAGGCCTAAATAGGTTGACCGAATTTGTTTTTACATGGCCTAACAAGGCCGGGATAAGAAGCTTAGCTATATTAAAAAATATTAATTTTTAAAATTTAAATCTTTATAAAAACATATTTAAATAAGCGCCCGTCAAGCTAGACCTATATTCTCTGATCTAGAAGGAGGAGGATGACCTTGTGCTTCTTGGTGAAAGCTGAAGCACCCTGCTCCATTTTTTCAGTATTTCTACTTTCACATCGATAAATTAATAGAGTTTGTTTGTTTTTTTTTAAAAGCATGCTTACTGTTTAGCATTTGAAAATTGTGGAATGTGTATATGTATAGGGGTACACTGTATAAAGCGAGAAGTTTCATTTTCAAAGATGAGTGGTAGAGTGGTCCCTGTGGTTTTCCTTGGTTTAGGTAATTAAGTGCAGATTCAAGGACTTTGATTCCCACGGTGCATTGAACATCAACTCATCGGGTGGTCCTTCTTACTCCTTGGCTTCGCCTATAAATCTCTCTCCTCACCACCTTCATTTCTGCATACCCAACCTTTAGTTTTACCTTTTCACAGAAGCACCGATCTCGATCTGTCTAAGCTTGTAGTTAATGGGTTTTGGTGAAGCTAATGATGCGTGCGAGAAGCTAGCAGTTGTACATGGGTTTCAGTTTAGTATACGAAGCCCGTTTCCTATGCAAATTAAATGCTTGCAAAGGTTCTATGATCCTAATTAAGTGCCGGCCGGCCTTGAGTATCTCCACATGCACCAAACTCCTCGTATAATCCACGGAGATCTCAAGCCTGGAAATATTGCACCGGAATATCACCAGACTGTGAAATTCCCTCACAAGTCCGACATATGCAGCTTTGGGGTAGTGCTTGGCAACTTGGTGATGCGAATGATTCCGTCTGATGCTTCTGGCTCTGAAGATTGCCTGCTTTTGCACTCAGGATGATCCCAAGGAGTGGCCCAACAGAGGATATCAGATGCATGCTGTCCCAAATCAAACACTGATATGTGTATGTGACAAGTTTCATATAAGATTTTTTACGGTTCTGTGATGACCTGATAAGACAATCCTACGAGGGTATACATTAAAATGTATTCATGGTTCTGTGGTCCTAATATTTTGTTTGCTAGGACATGCTTTAGTTTTCTTGCTAAGAGATTGCAAGTTTTGAATGGCTGCTGAAATGTTGTCCTTTAGTTTAGTTTTCTTCTGTTTGGAAAGAGACATGCATTTTGTAATTTGTTGTCAGCTTCATGATTGTAATATAATCAAGGGTATATTATTTTTGTGGAATAAGTTTTTATGATTTGTTTGAGAGAATTTTGAGAATTTTTTTAATTTCTTTGGTTCTTTCACTTTTTTTAAAAGAAAAAGAAATGCCTGGAATATTCATTCGATGAATGTAAAATAGCTAGAATTTTGAGTTACATGCATTTTTTTATATGCGATATTTTCATTTTTTTAATTAATTTTTTAAAATTTGGATCTTATACCAAGGCTCCAAGGGCCATCAGGCTAATTAAGAAGTTTCTTAAGCCCTACTACTTTGTGTAAGACTAAGATATATGTAAATAAAAGATATGAGGTTACGTCCACGGTTAATGGATTTGCTAGATTTATATCTAATCTCATATTCAATTGAGATAACCTCATTTTTTTAGTAGCTGTCTTATAATTTTTTGCCTCAATTGAATATGTCTACTATTACCATTACACATTCAATTTATCACAAATCATCGACATATTATATTATCAATTATACTCAATATATTATTTGCTATGAAGTATTTCAGCTACTCATATTCGCTATTAGCCAATTCTAGAGTAATAAACTAGGGCTATTGTAACATCCTTAGTTTCTCAATTAGTAATTATCAGTATTTTTCAAGGGGTAATTTGGTCAATTTAGATAAATTGTTGATTTAGTGAGGTTTATAAGAGACTAATATGATTTTTGAATCCTTAGACAGTCTTAGAAGAGGGTTAGGTTGATGTTCAAACAGGCCATGGCACGGAAGGAAGTTTAAAATTTTGTAAAATTTTTTGTACCATGTGCTACGATAGGCGTGTCAATACGCTGCAGCACATATGGAAAATATGCATTTATCAAAAGTGAAAAACAGATCAAAAATAGAAGGTAGAAAGAGGGATAATGAGAGAGCGACGAAGGAGAGCTTGTAGTCTGCTAGGGCACGATCCCTGGGCTACTTTGGAGGCATTTGGAGCTTAAATCACCATTAGGTAAGTTGCACATTCCCTCTTCTCTCTCATTATGCAAAAAATTTGGACATTTAGGGCAATAGAGGCTTTGATTTTGATTCTCTTAGGTTTAGACTAAACCCATTAGTTTATTTAAGATCTTAAAAAGTTAAATCAAGCCTCTAACCTTAAGTTTATGAGTTTGTGGTGATTAAGAATTTTTGATAAAGGTTTGGATGAACCCTAAGTATAATTTGAGGATTTTGAGACAATATGGGATATTGGTTAGCGAATTTGTTATGTTAGAATGTTTAATAGAATGGTTAGAGTGTTTAAGAATGGTTGATGTTGTTAGAAAAGAAAATTGGGTGTTATAGGCACTTAGAACCTAGTAAATTCGGGATTAACCAGAGTAATAATTGATGATTGTTATTTGATTGTGTAGATTGAGTGTTGCTCAAGCTAAATTATGTGTATAGAACATGTGGAGCTAATATTGAGCCACAATAACCCTTTTGTGTAACAAAGGGTTAAGGTAACCATATAGTTTATTTTGTTTATTAACTATTATAACTATGTAGAAGTAAATACAAATGATAAAGTTGTAGTTTTGAAAAGTTTTGTGCATAATTTGATAGTGTAAATGATTTTAGCATGAAAATTGATTTATAAAAGGTTATTAATTTTAATTGATATGTATATATTATGTATATAAGTTTGTGATGTGAAAATGTGATGAAAAGTAGTAAAAGTTGTAAAAGAACATGATCATAGGGGGTGAGAGTTCACTTGAGATATGTGGGGATATGTGTGTGGGGAGATATGTGAGTGAAAAATTTATATAATCGGGTTGGCACCATGGGACATCCGGCGTAGCATTTTATGAGACCGTTATCATGGGACATTCGAAAAGTTTGGCAACTCCTTAGTACCCGTTAGGGTATGATTAAAAGTCAACGATGCCTCTATCACAAGTGTGTGAAGAGAGAAAAACCATAGCCCATAAGTAGGTTAGATTACCTTTAGCTAGGTGTTTTTACCACTGAAAGTATACTCGGGTCAACAAGTAGTTGATCCAAGAGACACTACGAAAAATATGACTTTTGGTGACAACTTTTAGTGACGACTAAAAAAGTCAGACTTTTGGCGGCGATAAATTATCGCCGCTAAAAGTTACCACCAAAACTATATTTTTAGCAGCGATAAATCAAATTCGTCGCCAAAAGTCACTTTTAGCTGCGACTTTAATTTGTCACTGCTAAAAGTTCACTTTTAGCGGCGACATTTTGTTGCCGTCAAAAGTATTTTTATAAAAATAAATTAAAAATTAAAAATATTTAATATAATTTACTTTTGGTGGTGACATTTGTCGCCACCAAAAGAATTTTTATAGAAAATAATTTAAAAATTAAAAAATAATTAATATAATTTACTTTTGGTGGTGACAAATTGTTGTCACCAAAAGTATTTTTATAAAAATAATTTAAAAATTAAAAAATAATTAAATAAAATTATTCAAAACATATTTATGAAATTAAATTTTTTATTTTATGTATAGAATTAGAAATAAATTATATATAGGAACGTGAAATAAAAAAATAATAGTTAAAGTGTGCTAGGTTTAATTATTAAATTTTTTTAATTTTATATTATTCATAATCATTTTTTAGACATATATAGCTCATATTTTTTTTAAGAATTATGCTATTAAGCTAGTATTTTAATATGATAAATTTAAATCTTAATGGGTTATTACTTCAATTATAATTAAGTTAAGTTATACATAAATTATTACTTACAATTAAATATATAAATGGCATTAGGAAGTTAAAGTTGTACAAACACCGTGAGATGCTAATGATATTATAGACTACTTAGCATATTGCGTACTTTATGCTTAGCTTGATATACATATGGTATTTACTTCTTCTACTGAGCTTTAATGACTTTTGGACTAAGATTTCATGTAATTCCTCCTAGTATATTTAGGTTTTCATTGCTATAATAACATTTTATAACTAATTATTATTAAGAATAATATGAATAACTACTCAAATCCACCTTTCTATAAGATTGAAGATGATTAGATGTTAACTAGATTGATCACATAAAGATTCTTGTAATTATCATATATTGCAAAAGTTATTAGTATTCATTTTCAAAATTATTCAAAATGACTATTAACAAAATTTATGTGGTTAAAATTAATTTTTTATTAAAATAATTTTTTAAGATATTGAAAAAATATCTATAAAATATATTTTTATTAAAAGAGGGGGAAATATTTAGCCATTTTGAGAGAAGATAAAAATTTAATCATTTAGTTTATCAATTTTTGAGAAAAATATGGAGAAGGAAAAAGTAAAATATATTTAACATAAAATAATATAATACATATTTATAAATAAATTATATACTTAATAATTTTCATTTAAAAAAGAAAAATATAATTTAAAAATTTATTACAATGTATATAAGAATATTATTTTAATATTTAAAAATTGTTTATTTTAAGTTCATTTTCTTAAAAAAATAATATTTATTGGTAAAAAATAATATTTTATTAAAATTATAATTTAAATATTCATATAAATCATTTTGTCATATTAATAATTGAAAATAAAATACAATATATGTTTATCTTTTCAATCATATATTATTTAATATATGTGTATGCAGTTACATAATATATATTTAATTTTATATATAATAATTACAGGTACATTTCAGTTCAACTGGCAAAGAAGGGAAGCTTAAGACTTGGAGGAGGGAGAGGTCAAGGGTTCAAATCATGGCTTTGTCATATTTCACAACAAATATGTGACGTGGCGCATGGTGGTGACATGGCACGTGAGGTTGTTTGAGAAGGCACACACGTGATAGGTGATATGGCATGAGCTGGTGGCATGACACATGAGATAGCTTGACGGGGCATACACGTGGTAGGTGACGTGGCGCGAGATGGTGACGTGAGGAAGTGCACATGTGTCATGTGACATGGCATGAGATGGCTAGGTGATGTGGCAATATCTGTTGAACACATGGACTGTGACATGGCATAAGATGGCAAGTGACGTGGTATAATCTATTGCATATACGGTAGGTGATGTGGCATCACTTAATGCACACGTGGCAGAGTGATGTGGTATAAAATAAATTATTATTTCTTAAAAAAAGTTTTTATTGTCGATAAAAAGACTTTTAGTGGCAAAAAGACTTTTGGTGGCGACAATATTTGTTGCCGCCAAAAACTATTGGTGATGGTTGTTATAATAATGATTTTTAGCGGCAGAAAGTCGTCGCTAAAAACTTTTAGCAGAAACCTATGGTTTCATATTGGGGAGCATTGGAGGTTCAGTGGTTAAATGATCATGCTAGAGTGAAATTATTGTGAAAAGATGCACTTATCTCATAAATATGGTATACTTGTTATTACTATAGTTTTGATACTTTTTCATGGTTGTTTGTGGTAATAAACATTTGATGAACTATATTGGTTACTGAGATATTTATCTCACCCTATGGTTATATTTTCTAGGTAAGGGCTCTAGTAGGGGTAAAGGGAAAGAAGGGATGTTTGAAGAGCGAAAAGTATCATTGTATAGCTTTTCCTTTTTCTTTTTTTGGGTGTTGTAACGAACATTGTCAATATATAATGCCAACTTAAGAACATGATATTATTTTGGATATCACTTGAATGGATTTGTTATAAGTGTGTGTATCTTGGCTCAGGGATGATGTGTGGA